AAAACCTTTTTAATTTAATATAATCGAAATCATCCATTTTACATCTCTTGTTTATTCCTAAATTCTTCTACTATTCATAAGTCTGATAGGTAATGTGTTCCGTGGTCTTCTAGTTTTCTTATGATGTCTCCCTTTGTATCTAGGTCATGTATCCATTTTAACCTAATCTTGGTAAATGGTGTAAGATATTGATCAATGCCCAATTTCTGCCAGACTGCTTTCCAGTTTTCCCAACAAGTTTTACCTAATAGTTTATTCTTATCCCAAAAGCGTAAATCTTTACATTTGTCAAACACAAGGTTACTATAACCATTTACTACTGTGTGTTGTATATCTGTTCTGTTCCACTGATCTGCCTTTCTATTTCTTGACCAGTACCAGATAGTTTTGATATAGTGCCTTATAATTTAGTTAAAGAGCGGGTACTGCTAAACCTGCTTCCTTTACTTTTCTTTTCATTAATTCCTTTGGTATTCTTGACTTTTCGTTATTCCCAATGATTCTTCAATTACGTCTCCTCAATTTATTTTCCAGGTCAGTTGTTTTCTCTATGAGATATTTCACATTTTCTTCTTTTTTTCAGTCTTTTCACTTTGTTTCATTGTTTCTTGACATTTCATGGAGTCATTAGCTTCTACAGCCCTGGTTATTCCACTGCAGGCTTATGTGTGGGGTTGAAGGTTAGAGCTGAGTCCTCCTGACCCTGTTCTTGGGCTCTGAGTTACACAGCTATGATTCTGGAATTTGTTCCCTGCTCTTTAAACAGGTATGGCCTCTGCTTCCTCATGACCACTCCTCTCCACCTTGTAACTGTGACTCCAAACTGAGTAATGGGTGACAGAGCTTCCTGGTGACCCCCATTTCTGCTCCCTTGGGATCTCTTTCTTCCCAGGTGTTTCTTGCCCTGTGTTCAGTCATCTCCCTGAGTGCTAGAATGCTCCTTGGCCCCACTGCTGCTGCTGCTATGCTCCTGGTCAGCCCCTGCCCCAGTCTCCACAGACCTCTCTGTCTGTCTTCCTAAGCTTCCCTGGGCTGAGAAATGACTCCCTGTGCCTTTTTCTTGGCTTCCCCAGTCAGAATTTGGTCTGGTGCACTTTCTAATTTGTTATGGAGGAGGTAAGGCAAAAATGCTACCTCTCACTCATGCCATCTTGTCTGCCCCTCCCCCATCACTCTGCCATCTTGACTGCCCCCTCCTCCCATTTTATAGTTAAGGAAAATGAGACTCAGAGAGTTAGGAGTCAGCAGGGTGATGGGAACCTGGGCTGCCTTCAGAGAGGTATGTGGCCCATGACCAGGCCTGTCCTCTGCCCTAGCCACACCTCATATGGAGGATTGTATGCAGTTATGGACATTCGACTCAGGATGGGAGTGACAGCTGGTAACCCTATGGCTCTACTCACCAACCCCATGACTCTTTCCTGACCTGTACTCTCCCATGTATCAGTCAGACAGTCAGTCAACAAACATTCATTAAGCACCTACTATGTGCCAGGCACTGTGCTTTCTTTTCCTGAGAAAGGCAAAAACAGTCCCTGCCCTCAGAGAGCACACATTCTAAAGTGGAGGACCACACACAAGAAGCTACGTACATATAAGAGAAATACAGACATATAGATATATCATTTCAGTCATGCCCAACTTTTCCTGACCCCATTTGGGGTTTTCTTGCCAAAGATGCTGGAGTGGTTTGCCATTTCCTTCTCCAGCTCATTTTACAGATGAGGAAACTGAGGCAAACAGGATAAAGTGACTTGGCCAGGGTCACCCAGCTGGTAAGTGTCTGAGGCTGGATTTGAACTCAGGAAGATGAGTATTCCAGATTCCAGGACCAGCTGTCTATCCACTGCACCCCATATATCTATATTCATACATATGTCTCTGTCTATACCTGTACCTATATCTGTAGGCAGCTAGGTGGTACAGTGGATAGAGTGTCTGGCCTCAGACACTTAACCAGCTGTGTGACACTAGGCAAGTCACTTCAGCTGGAGAAGGAAATGGCAAACCACTCCAGTATCTCTGCAAAGAAAACCCCAAATAGGGTCACGGAGTTGGACACAACTGAAATGAGTCCACAACAATGTCTCCCCAAAGCCACCAATGACCTTTTAGTTGCCAAACCCAATGGCCTTCCCTCAATCCTCATTCTCCTTGACCTTTCTGCTCTGCCACTCACTAGCTCACCCCATCCTATGTCTGGTAAGGTATTACTCATAAGTTATAATGGCTAGCTCTATGTTAAGGGCCGGCTAGATGCAAGACCCCATGCTCAGTGCTGGGGACAGAAACCCCACAGATGCTACCCCTAGGATGTTTACTGTCTACTAAGGAGACAACAAAATACCCCCAGCTAAGTGTGATACGAGAGGCCTTTCTGATAATTGTAAAATCATAGACTCTCGCAGCTGCAGCAGACTTCAGAATCTATCCTATCCGACCCATCCTGACAAAGACCTTCCCCCCTGCCCCCCCCGTCGTTGCGTGAAAGGTGGGCCTTTGGTCTCTGCAGTTTGGGATGCAGCGGAAAGATGACTGGATCTGGGGTGAAGAGAACTGGGTTACAATCCTGCATCAGATACATGATGGCTGTGTGATGTCAAAGAAACAGAACATGACACTGTGTCTTAAACCAGGTGCTATGACAAGAATGTCTTCGTTCATTTACAAGCGGCCAACGCTGGGGACCAGACAGGACCAGACAGCGGACGGACGGTGCAATTCTCCTGGCTGGCACTAGGAGGCGAACGAACACCTGTGTTTGGAGCACTGTCCCAGGGACCCTCTGGATGTTTACAGAACCAGGGTTCCGAGCTGTCCAACCGGAACAGCTGCAGCTGCTCACAGGGGTGGGGAACCCGGGGCCTTCTGTATCTAGAACAAGCTCATTGGACAGGGGAGCTCTTCCTCACTCCCGTCTCTGCCTGCACTTTACCTGGTGGACTTTGAAGACTGCTCAGTTTGCTTCCATAGCATCCGTGGGCAAGTCATTGTAACTGTCTTAGCCTCAGTCACCTCACCTGTAGTAATAATAATAATAATATTACCACAGCATTTATATAGTGCTTTAGAGGTTGCAGTGTATTTTACAAATATTATCTCATTTGATCCTCAGAACACCTCTGGGAGGGTGGTGCTATTATTACTTCCACTTTATAGATAGGGAAACTGAGGCAGACAGCAGTGTGACAGGGACAGAGATAAGTGTCTGAGGCCAGGTTTGAACTCAGGTCTTCCTGACTCTAGGCCTGGGGCTCTATCCACTGCCCTCCCAAGCTGGCTCTGTAAAATAGATCTGAACACATTTATGTTACTGACCCCACAGATCTGTCTTTGGGAAAGTGCTTTGCAAACCTTAAAACTCTAGAAAAATGTGAACTGTTGATATTATTATCGCTGTTATCATTATTGCTATGTGTTCTTGAGTTTAGCATCCTGGGCCTCAGTTTCCTCACCTGTAAAACAGTTAGGCTAGATGGCTTCTGAGGTCTCTTCTAACACTAATCCTTGTGTGATTCCGTGATCTCTGCATTCAGCGTGGATAGACGTTTTTTACCTTTCTGTCCCCAGCACTGAGCATGGGGTCTTGCATCTAGCTGGCCCTTAATATAGAGCTAGCCATAATAACTTATGAGTAATACCTTACCAGACGTAGGACAGGGTGAGCTAGTGAATGGCAGAGCAGAAAGGTCAAGGAGAATGAGGATTGAGAGAAGGCCATTGGATTTGGCAATGTTGAATGCTAGACTGAGACCCAAAATGCTCTTGGCAGGCTGGAGCCTTGAACAGAATCAGGGAACATGAAATTCTGTGTCAGGAAATGTAAAAGTCTTATATGGGTTCAAGAAATCATCTTCCCAAGTACAAGACTGGAGAGTCATGGTTGGACAACACTGTGTCTGAAAAAAAATCTCAGGGTTTCAGCGGACCACAAGCTCGATGTGGGACATCAAGAGTTAATTCGATCTTAGGCTCGGTTAAGAGAAATGTGGCATCCATAAATGAGGAAGTGGGTCCTCTGCCCTGCTCAGATCACATTTGGAGGGCTGTGATCTGTTCTTTTAGGAAGGACTCTGAAAAAGGTCCAGAGGAAGGTGACAAGAATAGGGAAGGGTCACAAGATCAGGCCGCAGGAGGACTGGGCAGAGGAACCTGGAGAAGAGACGATTGAGAGGGGACATGGCAGCTGTCTCCAAGCATTGGAAGGCTTGTCATGGGGGAGAACAAAGAAGGAGGGAAGGAAGGAAGGAAGGAAGGAAGGAGGGAGGGAGGGAGGGAGGGAGGGAGGGAAGGAAGGAAGGAAGGAAGGAAGGAAGGAAGGAAGGAAGGAAGGA